GAGGGGGTCCTGCCCCCGGGCACGCAGCTATGGGGGGGCCCCGGCTGGGGGGCCCGCCCCCGGGCGCATGGCTGGGGGGGCCTGCCCCCGGGCGCGCAAGTGTCCCCGCCCTCTGGCGCCCGGCGGGCAAACGGCCACGCCCCCTGGCGCCCGGCAACCTCAAAAGGTTGGGGACTACTGCTGTAGATCAAAGCTCTTAATTAACCCAAGAATGAGATGTGAATAGTGATCCAAAATCTCAGATCTTAGAAATTGACATGCTCCGTTACTGGTGCTAAGAGTAATACAGGAACTTGATGAAGTTAGATTATTGGGCCTCTTGCTGCAGTGGTTATCAAGTTCTGCTGTTAGTGTCAGAAGCAGCAGGACACTGCACCTGTATCCACTTACACAGCATAGCAGGCATTTCTAAAAGAAACAGCATTAGAAATCCGGAGCATGACAGACTTAACACTCACATCACTGGACTAACTACCACCCCTACAAGTAACATTTTTGTTTGACTCCCTCCCCATCCTCTTTTTTTTTTTTTAAATGTAGCCGTTTTTTCTGGACCAGCAGCTCTAGACTCAACCCTAATTTGGCATTCCAAAGCCACATGTATCCCAAAGAAAGTACTTCTGGTTAACGCTGAGTACTATCATGAATATCCTTGCTCTCAGTTTCTGGCACACCGTAAATAGAACAAAACTCCCTACGTCATGAAGGGCATCTGACACCCTTTCTCCCATTCTCTGTATAATATAGTGGAGTAACATTGTGCTGCGATTGTAATGCAGCACCGAAGTAAACTGTGGCATACCAAAGATTAACAATCAAAGTCCAATAAAAAAAATGACAGGATTTTAGACAAAGGTATTTGATTATCATATATTATTCCATTACTAAAAAAACAGTACCGCAAGGAAGCAGACACATGAACACTATGATTCCCTCCAGTTACTAAATATAGTTTGCATCTTCATCCTAGGAATAACTGTATTGTTAGTAATCTGACATATATATGATAATCAAGTATTTAAATGGCTGACTTTTTTCATTTATGTTTATCTGGTCAGAGATTAAGAAAAGCAAAGAACTGGGATTCTACAGAATTGCAGAAATACATTTTTAAATGGAAAGCAGATCTATGACTATCTGATTTACAACTTACCACTGAAGTTCATTTGACGAATAACAAATTATTTTTCTGCACACCGAAAATGAAGTCAGTTAGGATTGTCACAGTAACTGACCAATTCATTTCTAAATGCGTTCTTCTGATATGCAAAAGCAAGAAAGTAACATTCCTAAAGCAACTCTGCTCACTGCTTTTTTAATATAAACTTTTATTGTATGCAAAATAAAATTATGAATAACTATTATAATATTACCAAGTATTATAATTAATACAAGCAAAACATAACTAAAATCTTAAGCAGGATATAGAATGAAAATGGATTTGGCTGGTAGGTGATTACTCACCTTTTCATTATCTGGCAATCGAATGAAGAATTAAATTAAACTAAGCTGCCTCATGCAAGTTTATTTTTGTTTTAGAACACTATACTTAGGTTACTAATCATTATTTTAATTTCTACAGTAAATATATGCAAACAACTTACTGGCAATATTTTCTTCAGTCCACAGCGCAGGAATTCATTTCTCAAGTGTATCCTAAAATCAAGATCTTCTGGAGAAGTGACAAGGGCATTTATAAACTGCATGCAGGCCACCTGTAATTAGAAATATTAACTTACTAAAAATATCTCTCTCAGCATAGACAATTTCTACGTAAACAAATACATCCTGCTTTTAATAATTTTCTAAATATTTAATCAAATATAATGCAATATAGGAAACAACAATTAAAGACAATTCTCATCATACTGCCAAACAAAAGTCTGGGACCCATAGTATTTAAAATCCAGTATTACCTATTTTACAATGGGTAAAAATTTTGTTCATAAGTAATGAATGTGCAAGATCTGCATTTGAATTGACAAGTATCAAAAGGTTTCATTTTAAGCTTAATGTTTTCATGAATCTTTGGCAAGAAGTTTACAGTGTCTGGATTTTTTTGTTTGGATGTGTTATTTTTAATTAATTCTTTAATAAAGACAATGAGATTTGTTTTTTCCCTCCACAGTGGATATCTATTATTTTTTAAAATTCTCTGTGAGGTATTTATGGAACATTTCAACAAGATGGCAATTGATACTTGAGGTTTATATATATAAATATTACAGTTCATATCTTGTAGTGTATTTGCTAAAATTTAGAACAAATTTGTCATTTACTGTAATTTAGGGTAGCTTCTAAAAAATGTTTAACAAAATATTACCCAAGGTCAACATATAACCTGGCACCTTTTCTATTTATCTCCATATAATATTCATAATGTCGCCAAAATACACAAATGTTTTGACTGCTGGTTAAAGTGTTTTTTTCCCATTTGCTTTTCAGGAAAAGTGATAGCCATTTTTACATTAGTGAAGGAAATTCAGAGGAGCATATTATAATGGCTGTAACAACTGAACAGATACAAGGAATAGCAAATATTGTTTCATTTGCTTTGGTCATTAAGTATGATCAACACAAAAAATTATATTACTAATAAAGAGTTCAGGTTTTTGTTTCTGATAATGATATCCAAACTGGAGGACTTGCTTCATGTTCCTAGCATTTTTGTGATAAATTAGAGATTAGAAGACAATCAACAAAATGCTAATTGCCAGGTGTCTTTTGAATTACTCCTGCACAGCATTTCAGCAAATGCTTGAAGTCTCAGGCAACTGACTAACAGTCTAATTGAACAGCTGTGCATTTTAATTGATTTATTTTAAAACAGGCAGACAATAATGCAACGCCAAACGTGCTGCTACACATTAAAAGACTGCAAAGGGACTCCTGGGAAATTCCAGGTTTGGTGAAAGATGCTAACTACAAGAGAAAGCAGAACCAACATAAGAATCAATAGTAGCCAGAGAAGAAAAATAAGCAACAGATGAAAAATACACTTTCAGTTTTAATCACCATCATCATTTAGTTTTAATCAAACACCTTAAGGAGCGTGCTAAATTTGTACTGAAAAGCACTTGGAGCAGTACAACCTTCTATACAGCTGTAGGGAGGTGGTAGAGGCTATAGATACTGTACAAGCAGATAACTACATTATCATTGTGTTTGCTTGATTGATCCTTGTTATGTTACAACTATGATATGACTGTACAAGCCAAAGTACATGTCCAATCTGAAATTAATAGAGAGAAAAGGTGCCATCTGCTATGATTGCTTTTGCCAGAAGAAATTCTGGCTTAATGGCTTGTGTTAGTGCATTACAAGTAAAGAGAACATTTTCGTCAGAAACAAGTTAATGAGTCTTGCAGTTGTACCTTTGCTTAAGTATACATATTTGGATCAAAAAGATAATAACATGGGAAAAAATGAACATTCTTTGTAACACCCTGTATGATTGACTGTAGTACAAAGTAGTACTTGCATTATAGAATATTCACGTAATGAAACTAGGTGAGTTTCTCCAGAAAGCAAAATAAAATTATTGTTATTATTACTACTACTACATGTGCCTTGGAATATTTTGAAATATTAACCATTATAAAAAAGTACAGCTAGGAAATATTGATTTAACAATTTTCATTTAGGTGGTTTTATGTTCAGACATGTCCACCAATACATGATAAACTGCCATCTAAACTGAATTACCTTACCTGCAGTCTTTCATGAAACAGCCATAAAGGCAGAGAGCATATCCATATTTAATTATCATGTGAGACCAAACAAAAATGGCTGTAGGACTTTCCTACGTCTTTTCCAATTTAGCATGCTTTATGGTAAATAGTGGGTGTTAAAAAAAACCATCTGAAAGGACTCTAGTCAAACAAAGATTTTGGTGCTTTCTGATTTGAAAAATGAAAAATAAAACCCATAATTCTCCAACCCCAATTCTACTTTAGCACATAGGTTCTCATTCCGAAGTCATCCCCTCCTCTCCCCCCCCAAAATAAATTTCATTTACATTTGAATTCTAGAAATGAAAAAGAAATGCATACTACACAGGACTTTGCATCCACTTTGTCTTCATAAAATACCTTTGGAGTCATATAATTTTTTGTACGTTCCAAGTTATAAAATGCTTCCCCTGGATGTTCAGAAGCATCAAAAGGGGAAAGAAACTATATGGTGGCACACAAGCACTGGTGTATGCAGCCGAGTGGCATCTTACCATGGCGCACATAGTGCTTCTGGCACAAAAACCCACCTTCCTCAATGGGGTGAAAATCAAAGCCTAATGAGTCATGAGTAGCTGTTAAAAATGGATGCTGACTAAGCAGCAAGTGCTAGCCAGCAACATTTAGAGAGAACATGTTGTTCTTGGTAACAAGTAGTTAAAAAAAAAAGTGCAATAAAGCATGGGGGTGGCCTCACATGGGACATCCTACCTAATGATGGCAGTATCGACCTGGCCCCAGATAAACTCTGTAGCATATCTGGACACTTGCCACCGCATACACTATTTTCATGTTTGGCAGTAATGGCAAGAATTTCACCTTAAGTACATATCTACATGTAATTATATCTATAGACTGATATAACAATTGAACGGAAAACTATCACTCATCCTGTACATTTGTGTAACAGAAATGTTAACAAATTAAAGTTCAAGACACACTGAAGTCCCAGGAGAAACTAATCAAAGTAAGTGCTTAATGTTAACCTTCTAAAGCCACAAATGCTTGTGCGTAAGTCAATTCAGTATTTAATTTTCTTTACGTGTGGGCTTAAAAATGCTTAAAATGAATGATCTTCCGTGATTCTGAACATGGTTTTAATGCTCTTCCCAAGTAAAGAGAATTTGCATTACTTATAAAAATGCATGTTTTAAATTCTGACAGCAAAAACATTTGGAAGCTTGATATGCATAATCTCTAAAGTGTGTGTGTGTGTGTGTGTGTGTAATTTATGTAGCTTTGAGCACCACTATTGTTTTTATTCAACAAGGAAATAGGATAGCTTTGCAGCATGACCTTAGCCTTTAAAGATCATAATCATTCTTTCAATTTTTCTACAGCACAACTAACTTTTCATATTCTTGTGTCAAGATTACAGAAGTTATTGGTCATAGGGCCTTCGCCTTTCAGTGGAAAGGTCATGCACTCAATCATTACCTTACCGACAAAAGGATTTGCCTTCATCCCTCTGTCATGATTCAGAGCTTACACAAAATGTGGACAAAATCCCGCACTCAACAGATACACTAGCTGGACCTCTTTGAGGATTTTGACTTTTAACCTCTAAACCTCCAGAAATTATTCAGTTACTAAACTGGTATTTTTCTTTACAAGAAACTATACAAATGTCATTGACCTTCTGTGTTATGTGTATCCATATACATATATAGTAGGGATGTAGTCAAGTTAACTACTCGCATTTCCTTCTCTCATTCCTGCCTCTGCTCAACTCAGTGCTAGCTCACACGGGGCCTGGGACCTACCCATACAGCTGCTCCTTGAGTTATGACCACCACCACTTACGATCATCCGCACTTACGACCAAAGCGGTCGTAAATGCAGATCCAAGTTACGAACGGCAATCCGCACTTACGAACAGCACGGTTGCCATGTAACTCTATGGGATCCGAGTTACGAACACTTTGAGTTACGGACCAAGTTTTGGTCCATAACTTGTTTGTAACTCAGGGAGCTGCAATCTGAAGTTTAAATGTACTAAAAGACAAGCAGGTAGGCAGCCCAGCTCTTAGAACATTTAACCTGCAGACTTCAATTGGGGAAGGTTCTGGACCCAGCATGAGCCAGGACTGAGCAAGCCCAGCTCAATCCTGGCTCATGCCAGGTCTGGGAGCTACCCCCCTGTGGCTCTGCAACTTCCCACGCTGAGGCTCTGCCTGTCCGGCTCTTGCTACATTTAAACTGCAGAGTCACAGTTTGGGTAGCTCCCAGACCTGGAACGAACTGGGACTAAGCACTTCTTAACTGATCAGCTAATTGTGTAGTTGATAAAAATACTTATCTACTACGCAATTAGTGAATTACCAGCCTCTTAACATCCATAATATATAGAAGAAAAGCTTTATCATAAAAGTAAAAGGCATTTGCAAATGTAATATTGCATTCAACACAGCTAAGGAAACTCTTGTCCTTCAAAAGTCTTTTAATTACCAATTTATTTGGATGGTTAAAAACAAACATATTTGAAGACTGATGAGATTTTCCAAAATTAACTACCACTTTATCAAGTTATGAGAAATCTGCATATTCACAACCGTGAAAAGGCACATTTTTTACATCTTTTTATATTTTTATAAATTGGCCTATTATGGTGGTCAGTGAATATGTTCAATTCATCATATGTGATACTGTATACATGAAAATCCTTAGCAGTGAAAATGTGGTTTGATAGTTTTCAGGGTGACAGAGGAAAGCGACTTCTGAAATAGTGGATTGTTTAATTTATTCTTTAAATTTACTAAAACAATCATCTCCTCTCCAATTTAACGATATCCCATCTGGCTGAGGAATATGAAGGCATCTTGCCATCAACACACCTTTCTGAACATTGAAAGAGGTGGTCACGTAAAAAAAATTTAAGTGAATGACACAGACATTGAGGTAGATAGCCACCACAAGCCCCAGCGCAAGGTGTAGAGGTAGCCCCAGAACCATGCCCGTGGAACGGACAGGGGCAGCCAGCCTCAGCATTGCCCAGGCTCATACCACACATTTCCCGCACACATGCAGCCCTCAGATAGTGATTTCATGCGGTTAGGGCTCCAGCCACCAATGCTCCAGTAGCAGCTGCCGTCTCCACTTCCTTCCCCCGCAGACAGGCCTGGACACAGATACCCACTGCAAGCATTTACTTTTACGTAAGGCTAAATCATAATAGAAGCTAAATCCCTCAAGCCTGTGTGAACACAAACCTCTTCAACAGAGGCTGCACTGAAATCACTTTATGTCTTTCATATATCTTATTTTACTTTCTTCTTAGGATTTGCTATGAAATCCCAGGCCAGCACTTTAAACAAAATTGTAAAAAACTAGTGGTTTATAGGCTTAGCATTTCCATGCATTGTATTTCAGAATCTTAAAAAAATTCCTAAACCAATATTGCATGTCCTGGGTCAGAGCAAGTCTGCATATAAAATAAATGCAGAATAAGTTTCAGTGAGTTATGGCATTACAGAATGCATTTCCTCTCCTCCGCCCCCCCCCCCCCAACTCCCATAAGACACCCCAAAACTTCAAATAGTTTTAGTGGACTCTGTCTCTCAGAGACGGTCACAGACTAATTTTCTAAGAAACTTAACTTCACATTTTCAAATCAATAAGACTGTGCTTAACATTTGTATATATACACATCTTTTACAAAACTATATTCACTACCAATGCACTAGATTTAATTATATTTGCAAACACACTTTATGAAAGGGTGAATATTTAAATAGTAATGGCTCAGCTAGTAGCATATTCAAGTCTATCTATATGAGATGCAGAGAAGCTATAAAATAATTTTCAGTGCTTCTACTGTTTTGATGCAACAGTTGTTGCAGTGACACTTCTAAGGGCCATGGGAAACATAACTTTATTTCTAATAACTTTCATCTCCAGAAGAGACAATTTGAGAAATTCAAATCTAGCTATGGGTAAAGGAAAAGAGCTACTGTGTGTGAAATTTCCAGTTGAGAATCCTGGATCACTTTGCCAGACTAGCCAGTCACCTTAAGTATATCACTCTTCTTTCCAAAGATGACCCTGGAACTCAGCATGCAGTATTGGTAAAGGAAATTTTCTGAAACAAAATTGCAGGTATGGCTGGTGTTTCAAAGAGGGCACACAAGGCAAAATAAGTATCAGAGGAGTAGCCGTGTTTGTCGCTTTTGCAGATCCAGACTAAGAGGCCTGTAGCACATTATAGACTAACAGATGTATTTGAGCATAGGCTTTCGTGGGCAAAGACATGCATCTGAGGAAGTGGGTCTTTGCCCACGAAAGCTTATGCTCCAATACATCTGTTAGTCTATAAGGTGCTACAGGACTCTGTCACTTTGAAGCCAAAATAAGTCTTAAATCAAACAAGTGAGCAACTTATTCTAGGAAATGGCTAACAACACTCAGCAGATAAACTCATCCTGGAGCTGGATGGTGGAAAAATATAATATCCTGGAAATGGCTGTCCTCCAAATCTATGGGACCAGGAATGGATTGGATTTCTATATCTACTTAACCGTAAAACTGATTTTATAGTACTATAGAATACATGTCACAGTATCTAAAGCATATGTTGTGACAGACATGAAACTGCTATCTAGGAAATACTAGTCTTTAATTTTCTCAATACAACATGCGACCTGGCCAGTAAGATAAGCACCATATATTAGGTTATTGTCTATTTTTATTGAGAGCTGGCAGGAAAATCATTAGGAAAGCAGCACATGACTCTAAATAAGTAGTCTCCACACACACACACACACAACAACAACAAAATGGGGCAACTAAAAGACAATGGAGAAACTTAGTAATTTCAAGTATCCTATGTCCAGTCTCAAATGGAGGTATAAGCTTTGTTTTGCCAATGCTGAGAGCTAACAGTGTATAGCCTCATCAGAGAACTGGAGAATCATACCATTTCATCTTAAGAATGAGGAATACTTAAGGCCTGAAAGCTAACTGGGGGTGCAGATGAAGACACCACAAGAAATCAGTGGATCCATTTTACCTAGAAATTGTGATGGAGTGCTAAAAGCATTTTCTATGGATAAAGAAAGAGAGAAGTGTGACTAATAGGACATCAAACGTAATGAAAAATGGACATGTTCTTTGGACTTTACACATCTCAGGCACTGCAATTTCTCAAATTCTGTCATTAGCCAAAGGCTGTCAGGGAATCAGTTAGTCCTTGAAAAACAAGAGTAGACTAATTTTTAATGGAAAGTTCTCTTCTAATTCACTTAAACCAGTGTCCAGAAAGCTGATATGAACATAACTACAGCAGAAAAGGAGTGGCAAGGTAATACGTGGTCTGACATGAATCTACCATAGGCCTTCCAATTATGAGTAGATGAGCATTTAAAAAAATGTAAACAAGAAATGGATTTTTAACTTAAGAAACAAGCAAAAAGATGGGAGGGATGGAGACTGACAGACATCCTTTATTCACAATAAAGAATGAAAAGGGTACAACTAGTTTTTAATGGGTGTTGGCCCATACAAGAGTCTAGAAATTTTAGAAAGCCTAGAAATGGTTTCCTACAATCACTAGAAAAAGAATACGTTCATCTGACTGTGAGGCATAGCTCAGAGAGCATTGGAGTGCGAGTCTCAAGACCTTGGCTCTACTCCCGGCTCAAACACTGGACTTCTAAAAAATAAATTATAAAATCTAATCTAATCAAATCTAATCACTATCTAAGCCTCAGATTCCCCATCTGTAATATGGGAAGAAGGTCCATTTTCCTTTCTAAAGTGCTATTATTCTAAGCATTACAGGCATTTAATATTTAAAAACACTTTTCACACACAAATAAAAAGCTTCTCTCTCTTTTTATGGTACTCAGACCTTGAAGTCTTTACTTAGCCAAAACACAAACTGATTTCAATTATCATCTTCATATTAAAAACACAGATTTCTAACACAAGCGAACCATTAGCATTCAATTCCAGCTAATCTACAATTTCTTGGAATTAATTATATTTTTAAATAAAAAGCAAACAAAAATTCTTTTCAGCACATCTGTTGGTATATAGGAGCTATACCATGCTAAAATCCAATATTAGCGAATAATTTTGAGGTCTATATTCCCCACAACTGCCATGATTACAGAGAATGTTAATAAAACAATGTCTAATACAACCCATTAATTATTATATGTATGCAAGGCTCTTCAAATATTTCTACTGAATTGAAGTCTTCTTGATTTTGTATTCATAAATGCTAAATGCAGAAATTTTGCCTCTGAGTTGGTCTACCTAATTACCTTAGACAATGTTTCACTGAGATTTATGAAGGCATACATTTATATAGCAAAACAATTGAAAGATGCTAAAACAGGTGAGCTGCTTCCATTCTGTTACCATTTTTATGATATTTAGACATCAGAAAATTAGATCCAGGAAACCTACCTGCAATTGCAAAGCTTCATGATTCTGCAATCCTTCCACAATTGGAGAAAACCGTTCTCTGTTATCTCTCTCAGCTGCAGTCGTTATAGCGCCTAACAGTTTGTCCAAACTGAAAGAGTGAGAGAGATTCAAATTAACAGGCAATTTGCCAAAGAGCTACTTTTCCAGTCTTCCTCTTCAAATATCCATTAAATCACTTTCCATCCTCACAAAAATGTATCTGAATAAAAGTTTCAAATTACTTCAGACTACCTAAAACACTTCAAACTGAAAATTCTATCACAACATCTGGGAAATCTATTAAAGAATTTTGTTTAGTTTTTTAATTAATTAGTCTTCCTGGCTAAAAATCACACAAATTCAGAGAAAAATCTAAATATTTTGTATATTTTATAATTTAAAAATACTAGTGCCATTTTTGACTGGATATATATGTATAATTTTTGTTATTTAGCAGCTCACTAGGACACATCTAAACCTAAATATGTTTTTGTTTTTGATATTTAGGTCCTTTCCATGTAATTATTTGATAAGGGATCCTATCAAAGGCATTTAAAAAAAAAAACACAAGTTAACTATTGGGTCCATTTTGTTACTTATCTCACAATTTTTGGAACTATTCTAACAAGTTAAGAAATATAATTTACTCCCATAAAAACACAGGAGCTCTTCTACTCTATTCTTACATTGGCTATCAGTTTCACTGGAACTGAGAACTGACTCACCAGTCAATAACTCAATGTGCCTACCACAGCAATTTCAAGGTTGGCAGCACATAGAGACTTTCCATTTACTCATGGAGTGCTGTATATCAGAATAAAAACCAAATATTAAACAGTTCACACATGTCATACTCTGGATCAAGTCAAATGTGGATTATCAAGAACAATGGACTAAAAATCAATTTTACACAAAAACCATTTTGAGTCACTTAGTAAATTAGACCAGTGTTCTTATTTTAGTGATATTTGATCTGGCCCATGAAAGCTCATCACCTGATAAACCATCTTGTTAGTCTTTAAAGTGCTACATAGTCCCATATTTTAGTATGAAGGATATACTTTTAATATATGAACTGTTACAATAGACTTATCATAACATTAAATGGACAGAATCAAATAGGTAACGCATTTCTTTTCACCTAAACTAAAAACACTATAAGAGAGGAAAAGGTTACTGATGACATTTTTAAAATGAATGACTTAACTTACCTAATCACCGGCTGTCAGTTTATCCCATTTTATATTATTACAGAAGAAACCAAAGATTAACACAACAGCCTATAACTTGGAAAGCTAATCTGAAGGTTGGAAAGTGCCTTCTCATACCAAAACAAGAGTAATTCAGGAATAGATAAAAGGAAATAACTCTAGTTAGTTATTTTCTCCAACACGATGTGTATCTCCAACATATTACTTACATATTTTCCTCTCCAACAATACAAATGGCAGAAAGTATTTTTACTGTTTCCGTCATCATGCTTGCTTGCTTTGGATCAATTGCTCTTGCTAGTAATAAAAGGCTTCTTTCATCTCCTAGAATCCTTTGCAATCCATACTTTAAGAAGAGAGACAGAACAATGAGTTCTTCATGACAAGGTTATTCATACACATATAACCTGGACATAAGAGTACTTTTTTCAAGTATTTTCAATTCAATGGGAAATGCGGTTCAGAACACTAACAGCTTTATTGCTTGTGGGCCAAATTCATCTTTTAAACTATAATCTTTCTGAAAAAGACAAATCTTCTTAATTCAGATATACCAAAGACAATGGGCATTTCAATTAAGAGGTTCCACCACTTATTTCCCCTCCTACTACATCCAAGGACTGAAAGTTTTACCAATACATTCAGCTAAGTAACATAAATAAAGCTAAATAACAATAAATTGCTACATTTAAGATGAAACTGCAAACTGAAACCCATTAAGGGAATATTTTGCAGTTTCCTGTAAGATTAGAAGTCATTCAATCTCCTAATAATGCAACTTTCAAATAATAGCTCTCACAAATAAAACTTTTCATAGATGTGAATCTTTGAAACTAACTTCAGTCAGATTCCCCTTTAACTGGTTAACATCTGGAAACATAATATCTAGGTATTCCCTTTATAGGGGCTGACATCATGGGTGCTCTGGGGCTGGAGGACCCATGGTGAAAAGTTATCTGGCCAAGGTCCCCCTCTACTTCCCTCGACTCCCAATGGCCCTACCGACCCACTCCTCCAAGCACCTCCATCCCACTTCAAAACAGCTGTTTCACAGCATTCAGGACACTCCAGGAGGGAGTGGGCAAAGTGGGGAAGCAGCACATTCAGGGGAGGAGACAGGAAAGATGCAGAGTGAGGTCACGATGTCAGAAGAAGGGATGGAGTACAGACAAGGTTGGGAGCTAACTTTCTACCGGCTAGAGGCAAAGTTGACGTCTATTATGTTCCCTTAAATTTAGTATCTTTTTTAAGGTTTGAAAAAAGCAACTACTGTACAAGAAACTTCAACCGCACACTTAAATCATATTAAGAGAAAACTGGAATAAGTTAGGTCTGTGAATCAAGAAAATATCTGCATGTACTCCAACTTCATCTGTATCTACAAACATGCTGAATGTAAAATTAACATATTTTGTGGTCAATTCAGCAACCATGAAAATCTAAACATGCATTTGCCTTACTAAGCACAAAACTTAGGATTGACTGTAGAGACCCATGCCTGACTAGATCATCTGTCTTATGAATATTAAGCATTTATCTATTCTCTTTTATATTAGTCTAGCCTTCTCTTTCTATAGAATAACAAAAAAAGTTCACAACTATCTCTCAAAGTAGCTTTATAAGACAGTTACCTTTTTTCGTAACTGGTGTTCTTCATGATATGTTGCTCAGACCCATTCCTCATTAGGTATGCATGTTTGCTATGAGCACAGCTGTTAGAATTTTTTCCTCTGGGATCATTTGTAGGCAAGTGGTTCTGGTGGTCCCGGGGGGGGGGGTGCTACCATGATGCAGTAGAAGGGGCCACCTTAGTTCCTTCTTCTCATAAGGAACTACTCTAAGAATGGGGATGGGCAAGTTGTAGAATGGACATAAGAAACACATCTTGAAGAACATCAGGTATGAAAAAAGGTAACTGTCTTTTCTTCTTCCAGAGATTACTCATGTCCATCCCACATTAGGTGACTACCCCCAGTACCCAAAGAGTTGACTGCAGCACAGCACAGCCAAACCCAGTCTAACTTGCTATGGGAGGGTGTTTTGAGTTGTAAATGTGTGTGCGGGGGGAGAAACATTACCAATTCATAACTGGTCCGAACACAAGGTAATCCAGTTGGCCAATGCTGTGTGGACACTGGCAGGCCCTACATCCTGTCAGCTGTAGTAACAAAAAGCCTACATTCCAGGTCAAATACCAAGGCCCTCTGAACATCCACCATGTGCTGCCACCTCTCTTCCTCTGACTGAGGTTTCGGGCAGAATGCAGGTAAGATGATAGGCTGGCTCATCATGCAGTA